GGGCTGATCTGAATGACTCTCATACGTCGAATTCGACAGGAGAGTCGACTATATATATATATATATATATATATATATATATATATATATATATATATAGGTGTCCATAAAGTTCGTGTGCACTCTAAAAAATTATATTTTATTTGTATTGGCGATAGGAATAATTTGTAAAAAGGATTAGAAAGAAGTAAATCTATATTTTTGAAGGTTTTATTGAAATATTATTTAAGTTTCCACATGTCCTCCATTATTAGCAATACAAAGGGTAATACGATTTTGCAGTTCACGGAAAACATTTGCCAACTGATTTACAGTAATGCCTTAAAAAACATAAGTTATTTTAGGTATACTTAAAACTAGGTACATTAAACTTTATAACATATTTTACAGATTATTTCTATCGCAAATACAAATAGAGTTATAAATTTTTAAAGTGCACACGAACTTTATGGACACCCTGTCTATCTATCTATCTATCTATCTATATATATATATATATATATATATATATATATATTGTACACCCTCGCACTCAAGCTTATATTCCAAAGCGGTCGCCCATCTAGATATTGACCAGGGTCGACGTTGCTGAACTTCGGTGATAGTATCTGCTGCAAGTCGTGTTCGGAATTAGTTGTCATTGCCGCATTTTCCATCCGCCATGTAAAAGAATAAAAGAATATCTGAGAAAATGAAAGAAAGAAAAATGAATGAATAAAAAATGAATTGAATGGTTGAAAGCAAATAAGTCAGTCAATTTTTTTCGAATTCTTACTGGAGGCTTATTATGTCGAAGGAAAAACTCAGTCGATATTTTTTCTTATACCACAACTTTCTTCGCTTTATAAAATAAATCGACAAATAAATAAAATCAGACAAATTATGGTGATTTTCTACGCGTAGATTAGATATGGCACAAAGCCAAACACATGGAGCAGCGAGCGAGGGTCGAAGTCACAATTCAGTTGCAATTAGTCTAACGAAACAAGTTTGTTAACCATAACACCAAAGTGCACAAAACAGACAAATTATATTCAGACAGAATATCAAGTCAATATACAGATGAAAATGGCTGACAATAGAAAAGAATATCCTTAGGAAAAAAAGATATACAAACTGTTATTATATATATATATATATATATATATATATATATATATATATATATATATATATATGTACACATATACACACACACATATATATATCCGAATGTCAGTGTGTCACCGTGTCACACTTTTTCAACTTGACTTCTAGAGACCGTAGCCCAACATATCATACCATTTTGGAATCAGGCTGACTTCGTGAGCAAATTAAAAACATTCCTGCCCGGATCCACAATCCTGAAATTTTGGATTCCTAAGTTTGTTTTACGACGAATTGTTTTTTACCATAACAATTTCTATAACTTGGAAATAAATTTGGGAATAATTGAAATTAATTGCCACATTCAGCGAAAGTCATCCATGAAATAAAAATAATTGTTTGAACCGAAAGTATGGACCTATGTACAACAAATAGTCTTTAGATTAAGTGGCAGCAGAAGAATTATCGTTGAACTTTTAAAAAGTAAGCTTAAAAATTAATGCCATACTTAAATGCAGCGATCAATTTTGAGTTATTCTCTCGTTTATTGATGCCCGATCGTATACGGCAGCAGTATGCCTCACAAAAAGAAATCTCCACCAACAGAGGACCAGATTGCAATCAAAAGAGCCAAGGCTGCAACGAGGAAAAGTAAGTCCCGTGCAAATGAAAACCGAGATCAAACGGCAGCCAGGAGAACTTCCAATGCTGAGAATATTCAATGACTTTGGAACTCTCAAACTCCTGAACAAGCCGGAGGCCCAATCAAAGACCCTCCACAGGGGTTAACTTAAATGTCATTCGACTGGGTGGCTTTTTAGCTAGTATATATATATATATATATATATATATATATATATATATATATATATATATATATATATATATATATATATATATATATATATTGTCTGTATTTGGGCAGCATCTTTATATATACAGTAACTCATCTTTACCCCCACTTAAAATTAATCCTAATATATTACGAAAACTACTATTAGCTTGTACTACTGAAGTCCCTTTCTTCGATCATAATAACAATATATATATACAACGTGATGGTGTCTCCATGGGTTCAGTACTGGGTCCGACATTTAGCAATTTCTACATGTCGAACCTCGAAAATAAGATATATACAGATTTTAAAAAACCATCAATCTACCTAAGATACGTTGATGATATTCTTATGTTAGTTAAAAATACAGATGAAATACTTCAACTTCAAAAACGTTTCCATAATAATTCTGTCCTTAAATTCACATATGAACTCAATACTAATAATAAAATCCCCTTCCTTGACATATTGATAAACACAAATAATAACAAATTTACTATTTCGCCATACAAAAAACCTACAAGCGTAAATTCATGTACACTTAACTACAAGAGCGAATGCCCATATTACTACAAAATAGTAATTATAAAGAATCTAATACATCGTGCAGAAACTAATTCATCCACTAAACAGATTTTTTACAGTGAACTAAAGAATATAAAACAGGCACTTATTAATAATAGCTTTCCAAACTATATAGTTGATGAACAAATAAGATGCTTTCTTAGAAATCTCAATACTAAGCAAATTGTACATAATACTGCTTCTACTGATCTCAAACATATTAATCTCTTATATCGTAATCAAATGCATACTAATTATAAACAAGATGAAAATATACCAAAAAATTTAGTAAATTGTAATATACCAACTACAGATCCTAGCAAATTAAATTAATCATATACTACACTAAATCTAGTATATACAACTTAATTCTTCGCAATGATTCTTCTTCCCCGGTTAGCGATTTGCAAAAAAAACAACATAGTTTATAAATTCAAGTGCCCTTTGGGAGATTGTATCTCCAACGAATTAAATAATATTTATGTTGGTCACACCACAAACTCGCTTTCACGACGCTTGACACTACATTTTAATGAAAACTCTAACATTTTTAGGCATTTAAAACAACATGCCTGCCCGCACACACAATTCCATAAAATACTTGACGAAAACACAATTATACTTCGACATGAAAACAATAGACAAAAACTAAAAATCCTTGCAGCATTATACATCAAAGAGTTGAAACTCAACCTAAACAAAATCAATTATGGAATCTCTACAAATATCCTTAAATGTCTATAATTGATAACAGAAGCCATTGGTTTATACCAACGGCTTCCCATATACTTCTCCAATGCAATCTCGTGTGGTCATGTGTGACGTCATGAGATGCGGTGCGATTTTCGCTTCTAGCGTCTTATATGCACGTGTTTATCGTTGCTTAAAAATCATCTATGTAAACAATCACAGACTATCATCACTGTTTTGTCCGTATATTGCTTAATATGTTGTAATTGACATCTTTGATAATGTCTTATGTAAGCCGAAAGCTTAGATTGTATTAAAAAAATATGGATCGATATTGTGAATTTCTTTCTTCGTTCAACGATAATGTTATTAAACTTATCAGACGTTATGAAAAAATTGTACATAAAATAAATAGACAACACTTGTCTATATTATTTAATGAAACGTGTATATATATATATATATATATATATATATATATATATATATATATATATATTTATTTATTTATTTAAAATTATAACATTTATGTTATAATTTTTAAATAAATAATTATATCTGCTGTACTCTCTTTTAAGAATAGTTTTTGGTTATTGGAATTTATTGGTTACACAAACATATTATTATATATATATATATATATATATATATATATATATATATATATGGAAAAATTCCGGTAACTCTTACAGCCAAGATGGCCACAAATGTAAATCCCTATTTTTCACGTGTATTTTTAGATTTTTTCGGTACGGTCAAGATGGGTACCATATGGTCTGACAACGTTTCGACAGGCGTGATTCCCAAGGCTTCCTCAGGTGTATATAGATCTGGATAACCTAGAGGGAATCCCGAACTGAATTCTTTATTTAATCTACAAGGGTAGACTTTTCCCATTCCACTGTTCATGTCCAGGGATATCTCGTCCACTTCTTATTTGTATTTTCTAGTGTTCATTTATTGTTCACCGGTTCCAATAATTGCAAGTACACACTGACCGATTAGATGAAATAAAGGGTTCAGTTCAGAATTCTCTGTAGGTTACCCAGATCGATATACACCTGACGTGTATATATATATATATATATGTAACAACAGTTTGTATATCTCTTTTCCTAAGCATATCCTTTTCTATTGTCAGCCATTTTCATCTGTATATCGACTTGATATTCTGTGTCTGAATATAATTTGTCTGTTTTGTGCACAAGAGCCGAAACATTGTAATAAAACAAAGATGAGGATAGTAATCCGAATATAAGTAATGATAACTTCTCATCATCGTTGGTTTTTTTAATAATGGTTTGAGGCAACCAGTGAGGGTCGAACTCGCTACAACCAGACTAGCACCACAAACCATTTTCCCAACTAGAGGCACCTTTCACCTCACTTGAGATTTCCGGGGATCACATTTGTTGAACAAACGGCAAGATTAACGAGTTTTCTAATTCTTAGAACATAGCGGTTTCTTTTACTGTCCATGAAAAAAAATTCTCGTTGAAGTTCACGATCAAGCCTCGTTATCGAATATCTGTTCTTATGAAGAAGGTGAAAATAGGCGCGAAATTATGACTCGTTTTCACGAGCACAGAGTAAGGCAGTGAGAGATAAGCGAAACAGGTTTGATCAACAGATGCATATTATTTTCCTTCCTGCACTCTAATGAAGATGGCGTGCGTTACATCCGCGAGCCAAATTGATGCAGGAAGTGCGACCATGAATAACAGGCCGTCAGAACGGAATTCAGTCCCAATCCGTGTATTAGTCCCACAGCGGTCTCAGAATTAACAGCCGAGGAGGAGAAAACTGGATGCTGATCGTTATACATTATGAGCAGATGCATATGGAAAGGAAAGATTTCTTCGCTTCGATGATTGATTGTTAATTTTCCTATTTCTCTTATGCTGCAACATGATTTATATACGCGCGCGCGCTCGCGTGTGTGTATGTTATCCCTTTAGGGTACAAGCTATAAAGCGTTTGTTAAAATATAAACTTATGCCTCCAAATTGAAAAGCTGAGTGATGTTGTTTGAACAAATAATTAGACTGCAGTCTTCCCGTTCTAGCGGTGTAGTGAGACGTTTTCATTTGTCGTTGCAAATTTGAGATTAAAACATCTGAACTTCGCCTTGTTATCAAAAGTGCTGAAAACGTGTGGGAAGTCAGGTTCCATTTTTTTATGAGTACAGAGAAAGCCAGATTAAAAACAAGACGATGTGAATCTGGAAGAATGCACCATCTGCTTGCGATTACTGGTAATAGTTTTGAGGATAGGTTTGGTGATTATTACTTGATGATAGGTTATTACTTGTAATAGTCTTGATGATAGCTTATTACTTGATGATAGCTTATTACTTGTAATAGTCTTGATGCTAGGTTATTACTTGTAATAGTCTTGGTGATAGGTTATTACTTGATGATAGGTTATTACTTGTAATAGTCTTGATAATAGTTTATTACTTGATGATAGGTTATTACTTGTAATAGTATTGATGCTAGGTTATTACTTGTAATAGTCTTGATGATAGGTTATTACTTGATGATATGTTATTGTAATAGTTTTGATGATAGGTCATTGTAATAGTCTTGATGATAGGTTATTACTTGTTGATAGGTTATTACTTGTAATAGTCTTCATGATAGGTTATTATTACTTAATGATAGGTTATTACTTGTAATTTGTTATTCATGATAGGTTATGGTGATAGTCTTGATGATAGGTTATTACTTGGTGATTATTATGATGATAGGTTATTACTTGTAATGGTCTCTTGATAATTGTAATAGTCTTGATGTAGGTTATTACTTGATGATAGATGCTAGGTTATTACTTGATATAGGTTATTACTTGATTGTAGTCTTGATGATATTATGATAGCTTGTACTTATAATAGTCTTGATAGGTTATTTGACTTGTAATATGTCTTGATGATAGGGTTATTACTTGATGATAGGTTATTAATAGTCTTGATAATGATAGCTTATTCAGTCTTGAGGATGAGATGCTATGCTAGGTTATTACTTGTAATAGTCTTGGTGATAGGTTATTACTTGATGATAGGTTATTACTTGTAATAGTCTTGATCTTGATGATAGTTTATTATTACTTGATGATAGCTTATTACTTGATGATAGTTTACTTAATAGTCTTGATGATAGGTTATTGTAATAGTCTTGTAGATATGATTACTTGATGATAGGTTATTATTGTAATAGTTTTGATGATAGGTTATTACTTGTAATAGTCTTGATGATAGGTTTTTACTTGATGATAGGTTATTACTTGTAATTGATGCTATAATAGTCTTCATGATAGATTATTATAGGTTATTACTTAGACTTGCAATGATAGGTCTTGTAATAGTCTTGATTACTTGTAATAGTCTTGATGATAGGTTTTTACTTGTTGATAGGTTATTACTTGTAATAGTCTTCATGATAGATTATTACTTAATGATAGGTCATTACTTGTAATAGTCTTCATGATAGGTTATTACTTGATGATAGGTTATTACTGGTAATAGTCTTCATGATAGGTTATTACGAATCGTGTAGCTGAAAAAGAACGAAAACGAAACTTGTTTTTAATAAATCTAACGACACGAACTTCAGAGAACGTTTGAGAATTGCATGTTGGGATTTGTCAGCGTGCTCACTCAAACCGAATATAACAAAAGACTGAGTTAAAAGCTGTAATCCCACGTATGCATGGGTTCAGAGAATAGTCTAGTTCCCTCGGCTTTTTTTTTCTCAAGAAACATTTCAGTAACCCTATCACGTTCACTCTCATCGTGGGATTCCTAACCTACTTTCTTCGAATCCTCCAAGATGTATCGTCAATAATGTTTTCCTGACTGACGACTCATCTCGGAGGATTTGAAGAATGTATGTTAGGAATCATACGATGAGTGCTTAAGGTTAATACTAGCCCTCAAAACAGAGTTTAGTTTAGTTTTTCCTTTCCCTTGTGATGTTAGGCCTCGCGGAGAGACACAGTCGTCTGTCAGCGGCAAGACGAGTTGCCTAGAGGAAGGAGAAATATCTCGTGGGCTCTGAGATTGTCTGCCACTGAGTCGCTCCAGCGTATTCTTGGTCTGCCTCTCTCTTTCCAGCCAGAGTACCTGAGGGGTTATGCCCATAGGGCTGGTTGGTTGATAGGCATACGAGTGAAGTGTCCGAACCACTTGATCCTTTGTCGTTCGATGTGTTGTATGATTGGTATTGCTCCTGCGATATCTCATTACTGATCTTGTCTCACCTGTTCTTGTTCACTGCTTTCTTCAGGTATTTCATCTTCATAAGTGATCAATTTCCTCTCAAGGGTTTTTGTTAGGGGCCATGTCTGGCACTGGTATGTCAGCGTTGGCGGGAAAATGCCATTGATGAGATTTGCCTTGGTGCTCATAGAAATGCTAGGATGTTTTAGAAGAGGACCAAGTTGGTAACTGACTGCATTAGATTTCTGACATCTGGTCTCGATTTCTCTGTCTAGTTTACCGTTTTCTGTAAATATGCTGGCCAGATATTTGAATTCACTGATTTGCTTTAGCTGGGTCCCATTGATGTTAATGTCCAGTTTTGATGGTCTCTTGCTGATGGTTATGACCTCGGTCTTACGGACACTGATCTTCATGTCGTATTTCTCACAGCTTGAGAGTGCTGTTAGAGTACGTGGCCCGGATGTTGTCTTAACATCATACTGCTCGAGGACCTCCCATAGCTTATCTCTGTTGACTCGATCAAAGGCTTTTTTTTCCCTGATCCACGAATACCAGATAGAGATCTTGGTCGTGTCCCATCGTCCTCTCACACAGTTGTCGGAGTTCAAAGATTGCATCGGTGCACCCTCAAACAGAATATAACAAAAAACCGAGTTTAAAATAGTAGTGCCTTTTAGACATGGGGCCAGGGAATAGTTCAGTTCCTTAGGCTTTTTCTCACTGGGGTGTTTCAACTACCCCTCACTCGTGGGAAAAAATATTGCAGGTGGGAATGGCTCCCTGGTACCAACCTTACTGATAAAAGCTGTACGAAAATTTCATTTAGTTTTGATTTTTGCAATTTTTCCGCAAAACTACACGGACTCGGAAGCAAAATGGTGCAAGGCCGAATATAATGTGGGAGACCCAGGTGTATATTAGACCAAGGCCAAGAATAGTCCAAGCTACTCGGCTTTTCCTGTTTAAGGACGTCTCAGGCACTAGGGATCAACCGTCGGAGGGACATTGCTTGGAAGATTGCCCACCATGCCCAGGACTGAGGTTAATCTTAAGAACCGCTTAAGGAATGCATTTTTGCTTTGTAAATTACTTTTTTCGGTTTCCACTATCTCATTATTTTCTTTTATTTATCGTTTCCCAACTACACCCGAATACATTCCATTTATTCTACACTCCAGCCACGTTTTTCTTTTTTTTACTAATCTTTACTCAATACAAGACTCAAGAGCCACTCAAAGTAGATCGTTACTGAATGATGTGTGTGAAATGAATGTAAGAGTATGAATTAGAAAGTAATGACTGATTCTTGATTGAAGCGGTTAAGACTCTAGTGGAAGTATGTACCACAAAACAGCAGTTCCCGGGGAGAAGATTTGTACTTCCTCCTTACCAATGGAATACGAAAGAAACGGGGTGGGGGCTTCAACTTCGTGGACGTACCATGGTGGGTTTTGGCTCTAAAGGTCAGCATTGGAATTGAGCTTGGAATTGAGCTTATCCAAATATTTACCATAGAAATAGCGATAAATTTGCGACAGGCTGGCGAAACAAAAGCTGCAGGATAGAAATCGTATCTTTCCCCACAAGGCAGTGAAAAACTCATCTTGAACAAAGCTGGAGAGTGGGGATTTGGTAGCTTCAGCGCAGGTATTACATTTATACATTCAGACCTCGTTAATCCGTCACCTTGGGACCAGTCCACCCTTGGTATCACAGAAAATGCTGAATGAGAGAAATCACCGCTAAAAACTCATTAAATGTAATATAAATGTAAACATAGTCTTCCGAGCTCATTCCCACTCACTCACTCACTCTCTTTCTCTCTCTCTCTCTCTCTGTATATATATATATATGTGTGTGTGTGTGTGTGTGCGTGTGGGTGCGTGTGTGTGCGCGCGCGTGTGTCTGTGTGTGTAAGGCCGTGTTATCAAAGGTAGAAAAAAGCTTCAAACAGGGAATAAAACAATCATTAATGCTTCCAAACAAGATTTTTTTTAAGTTTTCAGAGGCTAAGTATATATATATAATATATATATTTTTATATATACATATTTATATATCTATTTATAGTGCTCAATTGAAATATATTTTCAAGAGCTAAATTATTATTTATATATATTATTTATATATATATATTATTTAATAATATATATATATATTTAATTATATACATATATATATATATATATATATATATATTTATATATACATATTTATATATATATTATACATATATATATGTATATAATTAAATATATAAATATATATATATATATATATATATAAATATTATATATATATATAAATAATAATTTAGCTCTTGAAAATATATTTCAGTTGAGCACTGTTGAAAGATAGGCTAATTCTATAAACAACAGCCACTTGCGCTGATGCAAAGCTCTTCAGTAAAATGAATTTGGAGCGCTCTGACTGATTGGCATTTGCTTACATTCGTAAAATAACATATATATATATATATATATATATATATATATATATATATATACTTACTATCCTGAATGGGTTAATATTCAGCTACATACAAAGTGTCCCATACTAATGGAACACAGCAAGCGTGTTGTATTATAAAAATGACATAAACTACT